GGAATGCGCCGGCTGCCTCCGAAGAAGTGGGGGGCATCAGCAGAGTGACCCCGTTTTCTGCGGTGGAAGGCTGGGGCTGCCCAACCGCTTGCTCTCCTCCCTCCTTCGTAGATCGGCCAATACATCATGTCCCTCCCTCTTCACCTGGAGCCTTTCGTGACCCAGGAAGACGCAGCCCTGGAGCTCGCCCTGCATGCTGGGAAGCTGCCCTTTCCTCCAGAACCAGGTGGGAACGGCCCCCGAGGCCAGCAAGAGGCCTTCGCCCAAAGAGGCAGCTGCAGGACAGCTCACAAGGGCAGCCCCCCACGGTCTCTCTCTGAAGGAAGAAGTAGCTGCGGGGCAACCATCACTTGTGGTCCTCTTTCTCCCAGGCGACGAGGTCCCCGAGCTGGACAACATGGCGGACTACTGGCTGGGCTCTCTTGCCAGGGCCACGATGCAGACGTACTGCGAGGTCATCCTGCAGATCCCCGAGGTCACCCCGCACTCCACCAAGCAGCTGGCCACGGATATTGGTGAGGAGGGAGGATGCTTGAAGAGCGCGGGGAGATACCCTGCGTGTGGACGGGGCCCCGATGAGGGCCACCCAGCCCCCTCCCTGCTCCGAATCCAGATTCCAGCGTCCCTGCTCTTAGGCCGCCCGGCTTCCAGCTGAGAATCTGCAGTGTGGAGGCAGCTGACTGGCTCCTGGGCTCCGGGGTCAGGGGGAGTCTTCCTGTCTGGTCTGCCTCCCTGGATCTCAAATGCAAGCGATACATTTAAAAGCGGGGGGGGGAGCCTTACTGCAAGCCACCCTAACCCTTTCAAGTGAAGGGCAGCCAGCACCTCCAGCTTCTCGTCCCCAGGCTGGACGGGGCTTCCTTCCGTCGCCTACTGGACGCAGGGAGGCCGTGGTCATGGGAATGCCCCCCTCCCTTCCTCTCTTGGCGGTTTGGGAGTCGAGATGCTGCTTGTTCCTCTTACAGATTACTTAATCAACGTGATGGACGCTTTGGGCCTCCAGCCTTCTAAGACCCTGCAGCACACGGGGAGCCTCCTGAAGACCAAGCCTGAGGATTACAAGCAGGCGGCCAGAAATTTCCCCCGGCGCCTGGCTTGCAAAATTGCCGCCATGAGGGCCCTGGACTATTGAGCTGTGGGTTCCTTGGCCCAAGAGGGGCCCCCATTGCTGCCCCTGGCCAGAGATACACTGTCAGGGCCCCGGGGTGTGGCTGGTTCCCCCCCCCCCGGTAGAGTTCCCTCTTCCTTGGGCGAGAGGAAAGAGGCCGGAGAAACCTCGGGTGTGTCCAGACAAGTTTTGTAAGTACTCAAATAAACCTCTTCAAAACAGGAGCCTCTTCCTGATAGCTGATCGAAAAGGGCATCGCAGCCAGCCAGGCCCTCTCTGTGGAATCGGGTCCGAGGGCAGGGAGATTGGAGGGAGAGTCCTGACCGGGGCAGCCTCAGAATTGGGGTTCAACCAGGGTCCCGCGGAAGTTGACCGGGATGGCTAAGAGTGGCCAGACTAAGGGATGGTTGTGGGGAAGGTGGACAGTTGCTCCTCTGCTGCTCATTCTCTGCTGGGGGCCGGCCGGGGGCCGGGCCCCTGGTGACCTCATGCTCAGAGGCCGGGGCTCTGAGTGATGCGAGGAACCGGTCCGTAGGTGCAGCCACCGGAGGCTGAGGCTGAGTGAATTCTCTCCAGCCAAGCCCTCCCTCCCTCCCTTCCTTCCTTCCTTCCTTCCTTCCTTCCTTCCATCCTTCCTTCCTTCCTTCCTTCCTTCCTTCCTTCCTTCCTTCCTTCCTTCCTTCCTCCCCAGCAATCCAGCTTCGCCAGGCATGCAGCTCTGGCTTCTCCAAAGCCCTAATTAACTCTTCCTTTGCCTGAACCTGGGACAGGCCAGAAAGTTGGCCTCTGCCCTCCCGGCTGCTCATCTGCAAAGAGGCGAAGTCAGCGGCCAGCCCAGGCCGAGGAACTGAGGGTCCAGCAGCCACAGGCCAAGGAAAGGCCACCTGCGAGACCCCCGTGGCCAGACTGAGCCTGACCTGGCCAGAGGCAGCTTTGGGCGGTGGGGGGACAAGGAGAAGCATACGCGCTCAGGGCCGAGAAAAGCGGGGATGTTCTCCCCGGGTCCCTCTGAGGCTCCTCCAGGTGTAGCTCGGACCTTCCCTCCTAGGCGGAGCCTGGCATTGCGCCTGGGGTCCCCCAAGCAGGCATGGCAAGGACTGCTGCTCTTCTCTCCTGGGGAGATGCGGGGGGGGGGGCTGGCCCAGGTGGCAGACCCTGCGTTGCTCCCCAAAGTGCCGCTTGTGGGCCAAAGGCTCTTGGGGAGGAGGAGCTGCCTGGGCCGGATCCTGCTGCCCAGAACAGCCTCCCTTGTTTCCTCCTGCCGGGTTTATGAGCAGCTCAGGGCTGGGCGGGACAGCCCCCCCCCCCCCGGCCCCTTGGAGAGCCTCATCCCTGCAATCCCTCCGCTTCTCCTTTCACCCAGGAAGGGAAGCTCCAGGCCAGCCAGGCTTCCACACGAGCTGCCAGTAGCCCTGGGGGCAGGTGCTGGGGACCTACCTGTGGGGGGGGAGGGGAGGTTGCTCAGCTGCTAATCATAGAGCCCCCCCCAGCCCCAACCTCTCGGTGACTTCTCTGCATCAGCCAGTCCAACACATTTTACTTTCCCAAAGCCGTTTCCCTGCAATCCTCCCCATAGACGACGCTGAGGCCCCCTTTTTTCACTCCCAGTAAACTTCTTCACTAGCTGTATTTCTTCTCCTCCTCCTTCCTTCCTTTTCCTCCTCCAGGAGCTGAAGGCTCTCCCCTCCCCCGCCCCTGATCTTCCTCACGGGAACTTCTGTGGGGCGGACTTGACCGAGAGGTGCCTGGGGTGGTTCTCGTGACTCTTGCGGGTGGGGAGGTTGACTGGCCTTGCCGTTCCCGCCTATCCTGTCCTCATCAGGTAGGATAGAGAGCACACCTGCAAGCCAGGTGGCTCTTTCAAAGCCCTAGCATTCGGGGCAGAGCAGCTGCCAGCCTGGGCGGCTCTCCCTGGGGGAGGGGGCTGGAGGGCAAGGGCAAAAGGCTGGCCCGGCTGCCCAATTTCCCCAGGAAGGGGCAACGCAGGATCCCGTCTGGGTCGCCTTCGAAGCTTTCAGAGTCATGCTGGAGCCCATCCTTGGGGAAAGTCCTCTCCAGCAGGGTCTGTGCTTAGAGCTGTCCTGTGCCTGGCATTTGTGTGTTGGCCTGGCTGTGTCTGGCTTTTTAGCTCTTGATCGGGGTGTTGATGGCTGGCAGGCAGTGCCCTCATCTGCCCACTGCACTAACCACGGCTCCAGCTCGGGACGGGAGCCTTTACCAAACTCCATGCCAGCCTGCCAGTCTGCCGAGAGGGTGGGCATCCCCTCACTTCACTTCCCCAGTTAAACCAAGCCTTTCCCTCCACTTGCTCAAGAGCGGTTTTCTTTTTTTTTGGTAGTTCTGTGCCAAAAATGCCCTTTGAAAGGTAAAAGCCAGGTGGTTTTGCCTTCCGTACGGCAGAAGAGTCCTGCTTTCCACAAAATGTAAGAGCAACGTGGCAGATTTCGGGCTCCACGTCAACACTTGGGGGCCTTTAGGGACCTACCGATTTGGCAAGCCACTCGCCGCCCTTCAGCCCAGAACAAGGCGAGCAGCGGCGCCGGCCAAAGGGCTGTGCTGCCGGGTGTGTGCGTGCACCGCTTCGAACGTGTGTGCCTGAGCTGCAGGGACTGGAAAGGCAGCATTTTTGCCTGCAAACTCACTCTGGAGGAGAACAGAAGGTGGGCGGCATTTCAAGAGGCAAATTTCTCCCCCCTAGCATCCGGCTGAGGCGAGTGGTGCAAAAGAGACCCAGGCCTCGGATCCAGGAAGAGCTGTGCTGATCGAAGTGAACAGAATGGATCTGGAAGGGACCCTGGAGGTCTTCTAGTCCAACCCCCTGCTCAAGCAGGAGACCCTATACAATTACAGACAGGTGGTTGTCCAACCTCTTCGTAAAAGGCTCCAGGGATGGAGCACCCGCAACTTCTGGAGGCCGGCTCTTCCGCTGGTTCCTTGTTCTCACTTTTAGGGAAGCTTCTCCTTAGTCCTACGTTGCTTCTCTCTTTGATTTCCACCCAGGAAGCCCAGGGATTCTTGCATTCAGATCCCCAGCAGGGATCCTGGAGCTGCTCAGGCTTCCGGGGGACCAGGAAGCTTCCCCCCACCTCCCTCCCAGCCGGAAGTTGCTGAGCTCGGCCCCCTTCTCCATCAAACAGCAAACCCGGACTCCAACTGTGCAGCGTGTTTCCTAAGGTGCTCCTGGAGGTGACTGGAGGACCCTGCAGGGCCACAATACTTTGGGAGAGAGCAAGCCATGCACGATCCTCTCGCTCCTTTCCCCTCGCTGGCTCTCCACCAGGGACCCTTCTCCCCCTCTGGGTGCTGCTTGGGGCTGGGTCCTTTGACTGCCTTTTTTGCCCATGTCCACTCTGAGACATCTTGGTTTGGGGACCTGTCTTCTGCCTCATGTTGGCAAGGGTGAAGATGCTGGCGCTGCCTTTGAGAGAATTCACTTGGTCCGAATTCTGATCTCCCCCTTCTGACTCGGATTCCGCCTAGGCTGATGGGCACCAAGCCGGCAAGCGACAACCTGCCGCCGCAGCTTTTCACGCCGCCTCCTGCCCACGAGCGTTGCACACACTCTCTAAAAAGCAGCTGGCACCTTTCTCCTCGAACCCCTGTGATGCCTTGTCCTGCGAGGAGAAGAGTTTTGTGCCCGCAAAACGAGGAAAGTGAGGACAGAGGAGAGGCGGAAAGGTGACTACGGGAACATGATAGTCACCCAAACTGGGTTTATTTTGTGACGAAGCTTTGTGACTGTTATAAGGGCCCGTTTCTTCCCAGTGACTCCCTTCCTCTCCCATATCAGCCTTTTGATCGGCTCCAATGAAGTCCGTCCTGGGACATCGGCCCCTCCGGGAAGCTGCCTGCCCGCCAGGTGCCTCTCCCATAAAAGAGCAGCAGGTGCAGGCAGGACCCAGAAGGCCTGGCCCTGGCTCCCCCCTTCCACCCCCCAGGCCCCCTGTTCACTTTAAGACGTGCACCGAGCATTTCCCAGGGCTGGCTGTAAGCCCCCTTTCAGAAGGTTCATGGCAACCTCTTGACTTGCCAGATTTACACCCGGAAAGAAATGCCTTGGGGCAGACCTGGGCTCTCTGGCTGCTCCCCAAGTTTCTGCTGGCCTGATTTGAACCGGAGGATGGCTGTGCTGTCCAGAAAAGAGGGAGGGGAAAGATGCCCTGCAGGGGCCTGGCGAGCAGGGAGGAGACCTGCCTTCCTGGCCTCACTCGCTCTTTGCGTCCACTCCAGGAGCGTCTTCCTCGTCGCTGTCTGGCCCCGCCAGATCCACAGGGAGCACACGAAGAGAGTCGTACTTGGGGGGCGGAGTGCCCGGCTCAGAGCCAGCCCCTCCAGCATCTGGGGCCCCACCCCCCGGGCCCTCAGCTGCCGCTGCCTTCTCCTCCCCGCAGAAGCCCAGGTTGGTGTAGGCCTCCACTTTCTCGCTGATGGACGGGAGGGCATCTGGGGGCCTGCGGGCTGGCTTCCACTTCAGCCCCTTCCCCCAGGAGATCAGCTTCAGGACACTGATCCAGACGAAGTCGATGAGGATCTCCCCGAACTCGATGAGGCACAAGACGGAGCCCCCCATCCAGAAGCCGAACTGCCCGCCGAGGCTGGAGAGGAGCCAGACAATCTGCCGCGGGGAGAGGGAGAGAGGCCCGGGGTGAGGGCTGGCCGGCTCAGGCGGGCCCAAAGCAAAGACGCAGGGAGGGGCCTCGCAGCTTGGCCAGGGGGTGTCTGGAGCTGGGCTGTTCCTCGCCCTTATGGTCCCACACGAGGCCAACATGGAGGTGAGGATTGCTCACCAATCCAGCTCCTGAAGCCAAGGCCAGACGTCTAAAATTTCGAATTTCACATCCTGAAAATTGCCTGTTTCTCCTCCGTCGCAAGGAGCTTTGAGCCGCTGCTTGGAGTTTCCTCCTTTCGCTTGCAGAGCAACCCAGTCACCCCACTGCTTCAGGTCAGCCCCTCCCGGTTTTCCCAGATGTCGACATTGTTCCCGCCACATGCAAAGCAGGGCTTGCTGCTAAGCATGAGTGGAGTGCACACCCTCCTCCCACGGGACATTCCACATCAGAGGAGGCCCCTGCCGTTGCGTTGCCCATCCCTGCTTGTCAATGACTTCAGCCGCCTCGGGGTGGGGGTGGGGTGGGGACAAGCCTTGCAGGACCTCTGGGGAAGGAGGGGGCTGGACTGAGGACCGGACCTCTTGCCATCTCAGCGGTGCCACTTACCGTGGTTGCTGCAGACTCCGAGATGGTGCGGTAGTTGTATTCCTGGAAGTAGATGCTGAGCTTGATGATTCCGTTTCTGTGACGGAAAAATAAGGCGCATTCAGGGCTCCTCACTGTGTGAGACAAGACCTCCTTTCTGTCTCTCCACCCCTTTTCTAACAGCTTGCGGCTTTCGGAAGGTTCGCAGAAGAACAGACTCATAAGAGTTTGAAGGTGCTTCCAAGGACCTGAGGGCAAGGCCTGCTCCAGCCTCCCTCACAGAGGACCATCCAATCTCTAGCTGGCCCTTCAGCAAGGAACTGGCCACTTCGCGTGCGAGCCTGCTCCCTTGGCGGAGAGCTCATACAATCAGGATCCTCCTGATATCCCAGCCTGAGCCTCCAACCATGTGGTTCTGGTTCTGTCACGCAGAGAAGGTCCCCTCCCTCCTCTATGTGAGCCTGCTTTGGGTTTCTGAAGGGCGCTTTCATATCTTGCCCTCTGGATGACCATAGTCACGTCCTACCCACAGAGCCTGATCAAGACCCCCAGAGTGGACCCCTTACTTCCCATGATCTGGACTCCATGATCCCGCTCATGCAAATCGTGTTTTGCCCTTCTAGCACACGGATGATGGTGGTTGAAAATGACAGCCCGATGCCTTCATGCGGATTACCAGCTCTCTCCCATCCTATACTCACACTTCTCCAAACAGAACTTGACATGATGTCGCATCCAGTCAGCCTTGGCTATATAGATCAGGGGTCCCCAACCGCCAGGCGGCAGCCCACTATCAGGCCGCAGTCTGCTTGAAACTGGGTCGTGTGAGCGATGGGGAAATGCTCATGCGCGAAGCTCCACTCACACGAGCAGAGAGTGCTAGAGGGAGGGGGCGCTTGTGCTCACGCACAAAGCTGCTGCATTGACATGCCCCCCGCTCTGCCCGGGCTGGGCCACCAAGGTGGGAAGGTTGGGGACCACTGATACAGATACTTTCTCTAGCTCTGCTGGCTGAGGAATTCTGGGAGTTGAAGTCCACAAGTCTTAAAGTGGCCAAGGTTGGAGACCTCTGCTCTAGGTGATCAAACCCGACCAGCTTCTTCAGGTCTTTCAGTCTCTGGGTCTTCTCCTTCAACACTCTCTCAGCTTGTCTTCTGCAAATGTTTGAAGTGTCTCCTCAACTCCCTTAGTCAAGATCTTGATCAAAACGTTGAACGGCAAAGAGCCCTGTGGCCAGCCGTAGAGACTTCCCTCCGGATTGGTGGACTCTTGGGATGCGGCAATTGTGGGAGTAGATCTAAGAGCCTCGTCATCCACTTCATCCCTTTCCCAAGGAGACCATCCTCAGATACTCTGCTGAAGGTGCCCATGTGTGTCCGCCAGGGTCTCGGTCTCCTTCTCTCCCACTCCAGGGGACTGAGTCACATCCAGCCAGCAGGTTGAAAGGCCAGGCTGGGCTGCTGAAGTCTCAGAAGCCAAAGGGGGCTTTGGTGGGCTTCCCTCTGCCCCTGCCAGGCACCCCCACCCTCGAAGCAGAGAGGACAGAACTAGAGCCATGGCAAACCGGACGGGACTTCAGGCGAGAGCTGTGACAAAACGGGTTTGAGAGAAGTTCAAGGGAAGAGGGAAGCTTGGACAGATTCATACGCCGGTTATTTTGGACAGGAAGGGAGAGGCGTTTGGTTTCACTGCAGGGATTGGGCCCTTGTGCAGAGACACAAGTTGCAGGCCCTTGTGATGGGCAAGGAAGCAGAACCGGCGGGGCTTCCTCCTCCTGGTTGACCCACAAGTGAGCCAGGCTCCCACAGAGAGAGGGCAGAAGCCCCTATTCGCCTTCCAAGGGACATTTCCCTTCCTACACTCAGGACTGGCTGAGCCATTGGGGTGACTCAGGGCTACTTGGTCAACATCAGGAGAAAGCCCAGGACGAAGCGGGTCCCTCCCCCATGGTCCAACCTCTCCCCCCCCCGCTGTGGTCCTCGTGTGGGGAGGGCTGCCCCTCCGGGCTTTTCACTCCGCCCAGGAGCTGCAACCGATGCTTCCTGCCACATCAGCCTCAACCAAGAATAGAAACGCTGACGCACCTGTCCAGAGTCACTTTGGTTGACGTGTCTCTTTCGTAAGATAAAATATGGAAAATCCAGTCCTAGAAGAGGAAAGTAAAGGACACAAACAGGTCACGGTAGATGACAGATCGTCTTTCGGGGACCAAGAAGTGGGACTTTTCTGCTTAAATACCCTTTTTACTTCCATGGGCTTTTAGAATTTAAGCCAAGGGTCTTCAAACATGGAAAGTTTAAGACTTGTGGACTTCAACTCCAAGAATTCCTGAGCTAACATGACCGGAGGAGGAATTCTGGGAGTTGAAGTCCACAAGTCTTAAAGCTGTCAAGTTTGAAGGCCCCTGATTTTAAACTATTGAACAGGGGTCCACGAAGGGTTGTTAAGGCACCCCTGCCCCCAGAAATATCAAGATGGCTGCCCAGCCTCCCTTGTCCGGCCCTTGGAGAGGCAGGTGAGGAGCTGGCCTCAGGTAGGACTCACCTCTGAAGCTTCGGAGGGCCACTCTGCCATGGAAATGGTCATCTTGTACTGGGTGTTGCTGGAGGAAGAGATGAAAGGTCAGACTTTTCCCTTGCCCCCCCCTCAGCCCCTCCCCCTCCATTGGCTCTGCTCAACCACTCTTACTTGCAGGTCTCCTTGCAAGATTGGATGCAATCCTGCCGGTGCTCCTGGCTCATGCGCAGGATGGAGTAGCAGTAGGCTGTGGGGAAGGAAACCGTGTCTTGGCCCAAGGTAGAATCTGAGCTTCCACGTTACCTTTAATTCTGAAGGAGAGACGCCTCGAACCAAAGCTTTAGCTAAGGATTCAGAGGTCCTTGTCTCTCTCTGTTGGGAGCAGCACACCTGGGCGTCTAGGAAGGGGCTTTGGCTGGCGTTTACTGGGCTTTCAGATTCCCACCCCATGGCGCCCCCCGGCAGCTCCCTTGTCTTGTTAGGTCCCTACAGCCATGGGATCGTTCCCTCCATTTCCTCACCCCAGGCAGGATAGTCCTCGTTGTTACAGTAATGGGCTCCTTTGGGCAGCGGGTAGGCATAGTGGGCACAGTGGCAGATCTTCACTATCTTGGCTTGGAAGCAGGAGCGCAGGCAGGCCTGGAAGAGGACGGGGTCCTGCTGGCCGGGTGCTACCCAAGAGCAGGGCCCAGCCCCAGCCCCCGGGCGCTACCACCTCCCCCTTGCCAGTTCCCAGCTGAATTCCTCCAAGAGGCCCCCACAGAGGGGCCACAAGGGCTCTTGGGAATCTCACCCCCCCCCCGATTGGCACCGAGAGGGGCTCCTTGGGGAGCTGGGGGGGGGGAACAGCAGCATTGCTCACCTGGATGGAGTACATGGTTTTGTACTGGCTTCGGAAGGGGGCCATCTTGCTGCCCAGGTGGGAGCAGTTGGCACAGGCCCCCATCTCCTTGGCCTGCAAAGAGGAGCCATTAGAGAACCCGCCTGAGTAGCTCTCCCTAGATCTGGAGAAGAGCCCTTTCCATCTGGGGGCAGGGCAGAGGAGGGGCGCCCAGAGGTGAAAGACCCCCCTCTTCCACAAAGGCCTTGCTGTGCCCCACTGGCAGCTCCTTCCAGAGGCCTGAGCCGGTCTCTTGCAGGAATCCTCCAGCCAAGGGCCACAGCAGGGTGCCAGCTTGTATTCCCCACCCCCATTTTCAAGAGACTCTGGCTAGAAAAGGGCCCCACCCATCGAGGAGGGAGGCTGCCAGCACAAAGAGTTCCTGCGTGAGGGATTTTTCTAAGGAAATGCACGAGGGATTATAAAAGGAGGGTGCTTGTGCTAAAGGCTTCCTTGGAACCACCCAGCAAACGGAGAAAAAGGGGCCACCCAGAGACCAGGAAGTGCCCTTGCTCTCTTCTCAAGGACAAGGCGGCCCTGGAGGAGTTTGGAAACTTCCTCGGCAGTTTCGGGAGATCAGGGCAGATTCAGAAACCGACTGCCCTTTTGCTCGCCCCTTCCCCGTTTTGGGTGGGGGTCTTCCTCCGCCCTCCTTTCTCCACCATCAGGGCAGTTCCGTTCCTTCTGAGCAGCCCTGCAGCCCGTCCTGGGAGGGCTTCCCTGGGCTCACCTGCTCTGCCCAGGTGACTCAAGAGGCTCAGCTTTCAAGAGGTTGCAGCTGCTCTGCACCTGAGAGCTCACAGGGCCCTTCTGCCCACGGAGCAGGACGGGGGGGCTGGGGCAAAGCGGAGCAGAGCAGAGGGAGGAGGCATGGCCCTCTAAGGGGAGCCCAAAGCCCCCCCCCCCCCCAAGCATAGGCAACCCGGATTCCCCCCGCCCGGCTTGGTCTGGCAGAGGCGTCGTCCACCCCCTGTTCCTGGAGCTCAGCTGCTGAGCATCAGTCCCCGGGCGGCTCACCTCCTGCGAGGGAGGCCAGCTCACCACACCAGGGCTTGCAGGAACTAGGGGGCACAAGGGGCGAGCCACGTCTCCCTGCTCCCCACCTCCCCCCGCAACATCTGAAAGCCCAGGACCCATCAGGAGCAGCCAAGGCGGGCCCTCCCAAAGACCATCTGGCTCTGCCCAAGCAGCAAGCAGGGGACGAAGCTCCTTCTCAGGGCTGGGGATGCCGCCACGTCACGTCCAGCAGACGGACCCCACGAGTCCCTCCCCATTGCTGTGTTTTCCGCTCGGATGCAGTTGAGGCAGCAGAGACCACTCCCCGCAATCAGCTTCCTGCTCTCATCAAGCGTCAACCCTCGGGGGGGGCTGCTCAGGTTTCCAGGTTCTGAGGGGAGCAAATCTCCGGCCTCTTCTGGACCCCCAGCTCAAGCCCTACCCGATGGCCGGACACTGAAGGCAGCCAGGCCAGGAGGTGAGCCCCCCGCTCCCAGCTGCCCCTTTTCTGTCAATGGGAAAAGAGCATTAAGGACCCAGGTGCCTCCTGCAAGGCCACAGGTGCTCTGGCCATGAAGACCAGCCTAGGGGGCTGACAGGGACCCTCCCTTCGTGCCCCATGCCAGATCAACATCCCGCAGGACTCATCCTCTGGCCATACTGCAGACGCCCCCAGCAACAGGGAAGGGGGCAGGGACCCCAACCGGGGAACCCCATCACCTGCGAGGCAGTGTAGTCCTCGTAGAGGTTCTTCACGGGAACGTCGGACCCATTGACGGTGCAGTCGCTGTAGGGAGCGCCCATCCTCTCCAGTTCATCCTAGGAAGGAAGGGAGGCCCAGAGAGGAGGCAACGGTGGCTTCTGGCTTCCTGGCACGGAGGGCCTCCCGCCCGCCCCCCCAAACTGGGCTCCCCTGCCCCTCTTCACATCTCTGGGGAGTGCGGGTCACACAGGGGTTGAAGTCCTCTGAACCCACTGCCAGATGGGGAAAGCAGCTCCCCGGATTCCCTTCCCACCTCTGGCTGGCTCCCGCTTCTCTTCAGGCGGTCAGCTCAAAGCAGCCCACCTACCACCAGGACGCCGATGGAGGTCTCGGTCCCTGACATGGCATAGATGCCCTGATCCTTCAGGAAAGGGAAGCTGCCCTGTTCGTGCAGCATCAGCCGGGCTCCAGCCGTGGTGGTGAGGAAGGGGATGTAGTCCTTCTGGCTGATATCCAGGATCACCTTCAGCCCTGCAGAGACAAAGCCCCACAGGGATCAGCCGGAGGCTGGGGGTCCTGGCAGAGAAATGGGGTGCGGAAACAGGGCACCAGCCTGTCTTCACTCTGTTTGTTGGGGGGCGGGGGGCTTGTCTTGGCAGCCAGGCGCCTCTGCCCAAAGGGCTGGGCATCTAGTCACTTTGCCACACCCTGGAGAATGGCAGGGCACGAGCTTGGGGGGCAGGGGGGGCTGGCTGGTGCCTCTGAGCTGCAATAGAGTGCTTCTTTTGCTGCCAGGGTCTCCCTGCTCCAGTTTGCTTCTGGCCTTTGGAAGGGAGCTTGGCATCAACACCCACACGAATTCAGCCTGGATGAGCAATGCCAGCCTAAGGTTAGTTTCCCCCCGTCTCCAGGTCTACAAATGGTGCTGATCGTCGCAGCTGCAGGGCAGGACCCCAAGGCTGTCTCCCTCTCCTGGGACCAAATCTACTTCGACATGGCGGGAGAGGTGTGGGGCCCCTGCCAGCTCTACAGAGCCTCCCCCTACCTCCAGTTGGAGCCCAGCCAGGCCTTGAGACCCTCCTCCAGGGGGCCTTCCATCCATACCCCCCCTGTGTACCCACCAAACTCTGCCCCTGGATTGGAGGAGAGGAGGGGCTCCTTCTCAACCCCCCAGTTGAAGACGTAGCAGTTTCCGTGGTCCGGGTGGTAGAGGTGGGTGAAGTTCCTGCAGGAAGCCAAGCAGCAAAGAGATTATTCTCGTGGGGAGGTTCGTGGGGGTCCTGGCCCACCTCAGACTGGCTGGACTGGCCCTCCCCAAACTTCAGGGGAGGGGGCAGTTAATCATCTCTCTGGTGCTGCATGGGGGTCTTCCAGGGAAACCCTCCACCAGACCCTGAGCTGCCCTGAGAAATCAGAAAATCCAAATCAATCCCTTCTGATTTGACTTCCAGGGAAGGTTATCCATGCACTGGCCACATTCACACAACCCAAGAGGCCTAAACTATGGACAGGAAGGTTCCTCCTGGCTTCACCCAAAACCGGACAGCCAGCAAATCACTTGCTGGAGGTTTCTCCTGCCAACCACCGGGAGTCTCCGGCATCCAGCCTTTGGAGGAGGCTCTGAGCCTGAAAGACCCAGGACAGAGCCAGCAGTTAAGGGAGCCTTGCGTGGGGGCCGTGTGAAGCCAGGCCTCAGAGCTAACTGACGGAGCCCTGGCTTTGACATCCGGAAGGAAGGGCGCCTCCGGGGCTCCCCTCTCACACGTTCAGTTTCTCTGAAAACGTCCAGGCTACCTCATCGGGTTGTTGCTGTGATGAAAAGGGGAGGGAGGATACAACTCCTATAAATTCACCCATAAAATGTATGATACGGTCCTGTTGACCAATTCTTGTTTTCAGGGGGGAAAAATGGGTCCAGCCGACTCTGAGCAAACGAACCAGCAGCTGATGAGGCTCTGGAAGGGAAAGGGGACTACGCTGTCCTGGGTCCTGGCCCGACTTATGGTCCTGCGCCTGACACAGAGATGGGGCCAGGGCCATCTGGAAGTGGGGTGCTGATTCCGGAGCCTCCAGATTCTGGCAGCAGCGAGGTAGATGAACAGGGGGAGCCTGTTCCCAGTGTGTGTGTGCAGAGCTGCCAGAAGGCAAGAGCAGCTAAGACAAAAGAGGCAACTCGGGAGTAAGGCTGGGAGGTGATTGCCCCTCTCCTAAGGGATAAAGGACAGGCAAAGGTGATGAAACCTTTGCAGGAAGCAAAGTCATTCATTCTGTTCGGATTAATCCTTGAACTTTGTAGTCCGTTTGGTTTTGTACCGTTAATTTGGCACTTTAGTTGTTGGCAGCAATTCAAAGGAGAGAAAGGTGGGTGCTTATCTTGAGGGACTGTTTGGGACTCATTATGGGCTGGGAATGAACATAATTCCCAGCGTTGAAATAAAAAAAGAGTTGTTTGGACTATGCATTTGCTTAACTATGGTCCCAGGAAGCCTTGGTCAGAACAGCAGCCATTGGGGATCAGCAAACTCTGGACTGAGGACAAACCAAAATAAGAGGCTTGTGGCAGATGATGTGGGGGGTACCTGCCTTCCAACAGAAAAACCAAACCATTTGGTGAAGAGGGTCGGCTGCCTCTCTTCAAACAGGAGTTCAAATGTCGGCTGATTGATTGCTCCTGGCAAGGCGATGGCCGGAAGGAGAGGCGGCTGCCCTCCAAGCCGAGTCAGTGGACAAGAGTGTCACAGAATCACAGCTAAGACCCAGAGAGGTTCTGCAGGGGTCCAGGAGGCGGCCAGGGAAGGGCCACAGAGAAGCACGTCCAGCTCAGCCTCGCTGGAGCTTCGTCCGGCTGTGCCTTCACTGGGAGCCCTGCCAAGGGATGGATGTCTGCTCACCCCAAAGATTTCTGGGTACTCAAAGCACCAGCCTCTTGGCCAGGATCCACCCTGGCAACTGAGGGACACCCCCCCCCCCATCTTTCCTTGGGGGGAAATGCCCAAGGCCTTGTCTGGCCTGTGGAAGGCCCCCCCTTCCCCCCGACCTGCACAGGAGGGAAGTCTTCTCTGCCTTGTTGGTTTTGGGTTTAGGCAGGTTGGTTTAAGCTTCTCCGGATCTGAGACTGAAGCTTTTGCAAAATCTTATTTCAATATACAGGATCTTGTTTCTCAGAGGGTAATCCACCCTCTGTGACCGAACTGGACTGGGCCAGAAAGGGAGTTAAGGCAGCAGGAAGTGGAGGAAGAGCGGACAAGATGCTCTTAGCCCAAAGGCCAAGAAGGCAGCACCCCCCCTCCCTCCTTGGACATCCCCCTCCTGCACCGGGAGCACCGCTTGCGTCACCGAAGGGAGCGTCTCTGCAGACCACACACACACCCATTGTGGCTTGTGGTTGTCATCCCACTTGGTAGCACCAAGCTCACTCACTTCCAGATGCATCTTTCATTCAGCCCTCCGCCGTCTCCTTACAATTCCTCTCCTGCGGCTGAGACCTCTGCGTGGCTCAGTTCAGAGTCTGCTGCAAATGGGCAGCCACGAACTCGCTTGCGGAGTCCCTTACGGGAAGCTCGGGCACTGGATCTCTGCCTTTTCCTTGGTTTACCCCAGGCTGATTTTTATATCCTGGTTTGTTCTGCAGGCCGCAGCACGTGGGTCCACACTGACCACTAAGAGCCGTACGAGGCCTTGCGGTTCAAGAAGGAACTAAGTCAAATGCGAAGTGAATTCTCCTGCGCACCTACCTGTGGTTGCAAGGCTCAGCTCCATAGAGACACGCCAAGATCATGTCCTCTGCCTGGTAGCCCATTTCAATCCTTTTGCTCAATGGCACTTTGGACAAGATGCTGGTAGACTGCAGGACATACCACTCGGTCACCGCCTGGGCCGCGCTGGTGAACTTCCGGTAGAAGCAGTGGGACGTGAGGTGTGTGCACTGAGGATGCGACCGGGAGAGAAGGGAGAACACATTTGGAAGGGAAGCCTAGCAGCTGTGAGGAGGCGTTGGCCTTTGCAGGTACATGACACCTTGCTGGCCCAGAAGTAAGGAGCTTTTTCCCCGCTGAGCAAGTGACCTGATGGGGCTTCCTCAATAACGTCTAAATAGACCCACCATTTGGCCCGCTTACCAGCAGAGATGCCAAAGGAAACGTCTAGCTGGGCAGAATAGGACAACTCACCATGGCCAACTCTCGTGCCCGTTCTGACGCAGCCAACTCACCACGGGACAGCTCACCGTGGACAACTCAACCAAATAATCTGCCATGGTTATCCACCACTGTTTCTTTGACATAATTTCCATTTTTGTCAATGGAAATAATATCAAAGGAACCATGTAGGGATAACATTTATCATAGTGAGTTATCCCACATGGAATTAATTTTCTGAGTCCAGTTGTCCCACAGCAAGTTGGCCATGGCAACTTGTCCTGGGCTGAGTTGTCCACAGTGAGATGGACGTGGTGAAATAGCCACATCGAGTTGGTCGGAGTGAACTGTCCTAGACCCCTAGCCAAAAGCTCAGAGCTGCTAGGACCACCCTGTGGGAGAGCCCGGAAGGTGTGCCCCCAGGCAGGGCTGTGAGGGAGGGGCACTGGCACGCCTAGGAGCAGGGGATGAGTTCCTTCTCTGGGGGGCGGGGGGCATGGGGGAAATCCTCCTCCTCCCCGCTTACCAGTTTCAGAGCCAGCTTGTACCTCCTCGCTTCCAGGTTGCCAAAAGTGGAGGAGTTCTGGTGCCCTCCAGGACCCAGAGAGCCGTTCCCAAGAATGTCCAGGATGACTGGATGAGCCGCGTCGCTCTCGTCGATCAAGACCAGGGGGATCTGGTTCCAGAGCTGCAAGTTGAGCTTCTCACTTAGATTTGCTGCAGGGGTGGCCGATGCATTTCCCTGAAGGGGCTGCAAGATCCTTTCAAGGGCTGCCTCAATGAGCTCATCCAAGTCTTTCAGGAAGGGCTTCACCTTAGAATACCTGAGACATGTGCCAAAGGAAGTTCAGGCCAGGTTTGGCCATCACAAGTGGAAAATGCAGAGAGGATCCTGTACAACCATACACACATCTCCAAACAACAACTGGGCACTAGACCAGGTAGGAAGCCAAATTGGGATCCTGCCAGTGGAAGGAAGAGAGGAACAGAAGGGGAAGGAAGAGGGGAAGGAAGAGGGGAAGGAAGAGGGGAAGGAAGAGAGGAACAAAAGGGAAGGAAGCAGAGGTGGCATTGAGCAGGTTTGGACCAGTTCTGGAGAACCGGTAGCGGAAATTTTGAGTAGTTCGGAGAGCCGGCAAATGCCACCTCTGACTGGCCCCGCCAACCCCATCTATTCTCTGCCTCCCATTGAGTCCCAGCTGATCGGCTGGGTCTTCTTTGGTTGCCCTGCAGAGGAGAACGGGGCTGGAAAGCAGGTTAGTGGGGTGGGGAGGGAAGGGGGATTTTGCAGTATCCTTCCCCTGCCACACCTGCCAAGCCACGCCCATCAAGCCATGTGCACAGAACCGGTAGTAAATTTTTTTGAATCCCACCACTGAATCCCATCCAACTTGAACAGCAGTACCAGGGACTGTTGATGAATGCAGAGGCCCTCCCAGTTCCAGCCTGGATCCCTGCAGAAGGAACTCACCGGAAAGGACTTGCGTTGCAGATGGTCACAGCGGGGAAGGTCATGGTCTTGAAGCCGATGGCCAGAGAGGCTGTGACATTGTAGGACAGGTAGGTGTTGATGAGGATGCCCCACTGCCAGAACACCAGCGAAGCGAAGAGCAGCGTCAAGAAGAACCAGATCAGCTTCTTCTTCGGACCCTCACAAATGATGCGCTTGGGCCCATGGGTGTTGGTGTTGTCACAGTACCAGACCAGCAGCTCCTGGTAGGTGTATCCAGGGCCCTTCTGGAGGCGATGGAGGGCCTTCACGAAGTACTTCTTCAGCGTCATTGCAGGAGCTTTTGCAAAACAGCAGGAAAAGTCTGTGACATAAATGGAATAAGAAAAAAAATATGCCCAATTTCTCATTGGTGGAATAAGGAGCAGCTCGAGAATACGAAGCAACAGAGGAGCCAGCGGCAGGTAGCGGGTGTCAAGGTTCCAGGGAATGCATCCCCTTCAATGAGAACTCCGAGGCAGGCCTGTTCCTCAAAGAAGACTCTTTATTGGGGCATATCAAATTGGCATAGTCTTGGTGGGGAACCGGCTCTAAGTTCCCGCCGGTTTTACACCCAATTAAAAGTAAAACTCCCATCAGAGTCTCCAGTCACATGGTCCAATCAGCATGTAGTCTGGTTGCTAGGCGACCTCAGTCTCCACCTCTCGAACACCTACACAAACGTCCTTGATTCCCAGGGGAAATAATTTTATTGAAGCTACCACACTCCAGCTCTCTCTCCACCCCACTCCCTGGCCCCTTCACTCCAGGCTGAGTCAACCCTGAAGCAGAAACCTCCCCAGAGGAAAAACTACAAGGAGAAAATGGCCACAATTAGGCCAACTTCAGGGCTGACAGGTGGTGGCAGTGGTGGTACCCCTTACAACCTTGGATGCTGCTAGACCATAGCCCTGAATATGGGAGTAGACAGGGAGAACCTGGAGCACTAACCCAGGAGGACAATTATGACCACCTAGGCATCACTTGGTGGCACGCTTGGCAGAGTTAGGTTCCCAACAGATATTGTGATGGTTGACCCCCCCCCCCCCATCACAATATGCCTCATTGAAAGTCTGGTCCTTTGACGTGGAGCGGCCTTCCCCAAATGCTCCACCTGTCCAGGCAGTTTATAATAAGCTCCCACAACAATGCTAAGGACGCTAATCCTTCCTTTTGTTGTTTCGCAGAACCGTCAGCAGGATCTCCATGCTCTGCTTCACGAATTTCTGTTCAAGGGTATTTTCTCCTTTACATACACTACAACATCTCCCCTCTTTTCTCTCCTCCTGAGTAAGCTGTAGCCTCCCAGGGCTACTTGCCAACGAGTTCCCGACCTCTTTTGCTGATAGCTCCGTTCATCAGAAGGCAGAGGAAGGAACAAAGGGTTCTGCTGGGTCTAATCTTTACCAACAGAGAAGAACTGGGAAAAGGAATGAAGGTGACCGATGCTTTGGGACAAAGGGACCGTGGTATTTGGGATATGAAGAGGAGGAGGAGGAAGAAGAAGAGAAGAGCCAAGCTTGTATGCAGATTCCAGAAAAGGGAACTGGGGTAGCAAGCAGTTCAGTTCCAGGGACTTGAGATGGTTGAGGAGAAAAGGCTGGGAGATCCTGCAAAGGACTGTTCTTAGAATCACACAATCACAAACAACTCCAGCAGGAAGTATATGGGAAGACATCAAAACATTCCAACAAAGTCCAGCAGGAGCTTCCTCAATGCTGAAAAGGTGCGTGGAGAATAAGAAAGGCCAGAGGAAAGCCAGTTTGAACAGGTCCACGTCTCTCATGCCAGCAGGTCGCCTCCTAGCATCTGAAGGGACTGACGGAGAAGAAGTCTGAGGGTTTCAGGAATTCAGGACCCCAAGAACCGGAGGCCCCTCCGATGGAACTCTCTGTTGGGTGTACTTCTCAAAGGCCTTTGGAGCAGCTTATTGCTCTCAACAGTCGTAGGGTGGACTAGACCAGGGGTCTCCTCTCCAACCTTGGCAACGTGAAGACTTGTGGGTTTCAATTCCCAGAGTTCCTCAGCCAGCAAAGTCTTCATGTTGCCAAGATTGGAGACCCTTGGACTAGACGGAGTACCAGAGACTGTTTTCCATCCTGAGGAAAAGATTTTAAATCCACAGCCTATCTAGAAGGTCATATCGTGTTTGCTGTAAAATTAAGGGCTTCCCATAAAGCCCCAGAGATGGAAGGGAACCCCACTGAGCTACCTGTCCCACTGAAGGTTTCCCCTCCCCTCATCATCAAAAGTTCTCTGGCGTTCAAAGCATATCAGGTGCAGTGGAGAGTAACAGGCAGGTCCGGACCTTTTGTGCGAGGCCATCACTCCCTTACTGGAGGTAGACCTTCTGCCAAGGCTCTCCCGGAAGTCCCCTTCTACCCTTCTGATCAGCCTCACGATCCTCCTCTGAACCAGGTCCAGTTTCTCTCAATCCTCCCTTATGGGTTGAGGGACCCAGACCTGGATCCCAAGTGGGGTCTGACTAATGCAGAACATGCCATGCACGATGGTGAAGAGGAGACCGAACAAGGAGCTAGCTACCTGCATTTACCTGAAAGGGTGTCATTCCAGGGGGCAGTGCAAGCAGTGGTGGGCTATAACAGGTTTAACAACCGGTTCTGTGAGCACGCAGGAAACATTAAAAAAAACACCAATTTGAACCTCTACAGGGCAGCCCTGGTACGGGAAACAGCTGAGGTGTGAGAAATCCAGCTGAGCTGAAAAGCACGGAAATATAAGACAGGATAGGCAGGGGTGGGTGGGAGGAGCCAGCTGATCGTTGGAACTACCGGTTTGGTAGAACCAGCCCAGCACTGAATGCAAGGAATAATGAATTTAAGTTACACGAAGCCGAATTCCTTTGAATGAGTCATAAATAAAGAGTTCAGAGAAGAGCAAGAAAAATTAGGGAGCCTAGAAGCTAAATCATACAAAGAACGATTACAGAAACTGGGTATAAGGATAGTCTAGTGAAAAGAAGGACCAGGGGTGACATGATAGCTGTCTTCCAATTCTTGTTTTTTTTTAATTAAAGCTTTTTTTATTTTATATTTACAATAAACTCATCTTTCATTTAAATCGGGGGTCCCCAAACTTGGCAACTTTAAGACTTGTGGACTTCAACTCCCAGAATTCTCCAGCCAGCAAAGCTCTGATTTAAACAGGCTGGGTACATATATCTTGTGCTAACAGTTATAATTAATACTTTTCTTACCAGTTATAGCAATGATCACATTTTCTTTACATGCTATTATCTCTTATATCTCTTACCTTTCTGACAATCTTAACTTGAAGGGCTGCCCCAAGGAAGAGGGGGCCAACTTATGTCCCAAGGCACCTGAAGGTAGGATAAGGGACCATGGATGGAATCTAACCAAGGAGAGAAGCCACCTGGAAGGAGAAAATTCCTAACAGTGAGAACAATTAATCGGTGGAGCAAACTGCTTTCAGAAGTTGTGGGTGTGTCATCCCTGGAGGCTTTTAAGAAGAGACTGGACAGGCCACTGGTCTGGAATAGTATAGGTTCTCCTGCTTGAGCAGGGGGCTGGACTAGAAGACCTCCAAGGTCCCATTCCAACTTTGATCCTGTTCAATAAACTTAGAAGCCCCCTCCAGGGCATCTCCTCACCTGAGGCAGGGGGTGCCCTAGCAGAAGCCAGACAGCCACCTGCCTGGGATGCGCTTACTTGCAGCAGCAGCAGCAGCAGCAGCTTCAGTGGCTCCTTTCATCAGTGCTTTGTAAGCTACACGTTTATTGATGTGGTTTAAAATGACACGCACATTTTTAAATTTATGAGATTATTCCACTGTCTACCAAAAATCTCCTGGCAATTTATAATAAAAGCTTAAGAAGCAATTATGCTAGAACAATTGCCATCTCTCATAGCGACATTCCTGTTGAAAAAGATAAGCTCTAAAGGTCAATCCCGCAGGGGCACATTCCGAAGTGGGGCAGAAAGCTCAGCCTGAGTCGCCTGCAGGAAGTCTAGGCAAAGTTCAAGAGGGCCGGGACTGGCAGGGCTGCTCTTCCAAGCCTCCTGGAGCCCTCAGAAGCGGAAGCAGCTCTTGGTGTCTCGCCTGAAACCGTTTGAGGGGTCCCTGTGGCCTCTCCGCAGGCCCACCACCGCTGGAGGTTTGTGGACTAGACACAAACGCTCTCAGGTAGATACACCCTTGAGAAGAGTCTCCCACGAAGCTCTTAACAGCAGCTTCTCCGTTTTAAAGCCACTTTCTTCCAAGAAGGGACAGAGGAGACAAGTCAACAGAGACTGTTAGGAAGAGTCATGATCTCTGGGAAAGCAGAGAAAGGTGCATACCTCGAAGGACACCTACGCCACATAGCTGCTCTGTCTAAGGGAAAGTCGGAAGGATTCCGTGATCCCAATATTTATTAGGAGACACATCTCCCTCTAGGAAATTCCAGGCTTTTCTTGTGGAAATTTTCTCATTCAGAAGATGGAAGGTGCAAGAGAATCCTCTATCTCGGACCTGACTAGGCAACAAAGACAGCCTAGCCATAGAACATACTTGGGGAAGTAGGAATAGCAGGAACCTTGGAGGAAAAGGTCACTCACTTCCTGTAACATTTAAGCAAAACTGAACTTCTTTCGTGGGCTTCATCCAGGCTGATCTGAACAAACTCTGAGCAACGACGAAACACGGACAAGGAAGGGAGCCCAGGAGAAGGAGAGTTTCCTGACTAGGATGCATTAATATAGCACAATCCCAAAGAATTCCAAAGAGAAAACTAAATGAAGAAGAATGCTGATCAATGTGGCTGCAGAAGAGATTAACAAACATTTTAAGACAACAAAGGAACTGATATACCAGCTTTTCTGGGAAGGTGGGAAAAGGGTTAGCAGGTAACAAAGAAAAGGATGGAACTCTTTCTGGTGCCTCCACTGGGTTCCTGGGTCTAGGACAAAATTGTCGCGGGACAGTTCAAGGCTGTATTAATCATTTCATTCAGTGACTTTTGTTATCAGTGACTACGTTTTCATCAAAATTATTATAAATCTTGTCTTTCCGGATTCACTTCCTTTATTTTATTATTATTGGTATTTGCCAGTTCTCCGAACTACTCAAGATTTCCACTACCGGTTCTCCAGAACTGGTCAGAACCTGCTGAAGGCCACCTCTGGTCCCACGGTGAGTTGTCCTATTCCATTCCTGAAGGCCCAGCCAAATCTTTGTCTCCTGTTTTTGAGAAAGAATTAAGTACGGGTAGTCCTTGGCTTACAGTCATTCATTTAGTGGCAGTTTGAAGTTACAGACTTACAGTGGCACCGAAAAAAGCAACTTACAATGGTTTTTGCGCCCTTA